CTACAACTAGTAGTCACAGCAGCAGCAGTATTACTACTTCGACTACAACTAGTAGTCATAGCAGCAGCACAGTGACGGCAGCAGCAGTACTGTTATAGAAAGGACCGAGTTACAAGTGTTCATACACCTTGAATAATAGTTACCACCAAACACAAATATTACATTTAAGAACTACACATATTTATATATTTTTAAAATATGCTTTGCCTCTAGCTATGAATATCAAATATCATCTTGCCCTGAAATAAAGACCGGCATAAGTAATTAAGATGCTTTCCATTCATTTCTTCTTTGAAGACACTAATTCAATAGAATTGCTTAATTTTCTTTTCCTTAACCTATTTAAGCATTCAAAACATGAATCACTTCCCTGAGACCCCAAAAACATAAGATATAAGATAAGGCCACTTGCTTTCGAATTAAAATAAAATCTATGTTTCTATCTTTGTTCCTAATATAGTGACTAATAGAGCCCTAATGCTTTGATCTTCCACTTGAAAACTATCAAAACATCTTTAATATGCAAATCAAGGCAGGAGCTTGTGGGGTCATCCACAGCAGGTTTTTTCCCCTCATAATAGTAATTGGAAAATCTATGGGGGCCCTGAGGATTATTACTTTAAAAATAATTCTATCACTAACAAAAATCCACTAGCTTACACTTAGTCACATTTCAAAATGAAATTTAGATATTAAATAGTATTGATTTCAGTTCAAAAGCTGCTTTGACCACCTCTATATCAATCCTCCTGATTTGGAATGGGGATTGGTGGAAATCATTAAGTCACTTTGTCTTGTCAAAAATCTTGGCAACATGCCCAGATGTATCCAACACTGGAGGAGGCTACTTTTAGTTCCCATTTCTACTGGATAACTGACTTCCCATAAAACCCTTCAATCAGCCCCAGCCCAAGCCAGCCAAGTCTGAAGAGGAGTGAGAAAGCAATTTGAAAATAAACACGATTAGAATGGATGCTAAGGACCTTTAAAGATGAGGGGTGGAATGACATGGAAATGATATCCCCTTCCAAGCAATGTGATACACTCTAAAACCCCGTTCACACTCCTAGGGTTGATCAACACATGTCTCTTACCTATCTGGCTTTTATCTTGTGCCAGGCACACTGCTAGGTGCTGGGATTACAGTGATGAACCAGTAAAAAAGGAAGCCCTTACAGACCTTACAGGCTAGTGGGGAAAGCCAAAAGTAAACAACTAACTGTGCAAATAAATATGTAATTAAGTCATGACAACTACTCTGGAGGAAAATAATAGAGTGCTATGAAATGGAATAAAAGGAAAACTGATTAGGTGGGAGTAGACACTACAGAGGAAATGACATTTAAGCTAAATTATAAGTGGGATTTGGCCAGAAAGAAAAGCATTCTGGGCAGAGGAAAGGCGCATGACAAGAAAGTAGGAAGATCAGGAGAGGGTGGCGTGAGTGACTCTCAAATGATGGTATCACTGTCCTATGGGGAGGGTGTCTGGTGGCAAAGC